TACTTTTTCTTCTATTAGGATTTCTGGTCTAATTCCTAGGACCTTGATCCACTTTGAGTTGAGTTTTATTCATGATGAGAGATAGAGGTTTAATTTCATTTTGCTACATATGGATCTCCTGTTCTCTCAGCTCCATTTGTTGAATAGGTTATTTTTTCTCCAATGTATGTTTTTGGTGCCTTTGTCTAGTATGAAATAACTGTATTTATGTGGGTTTGTCTTTGTGTCTTATATTTTGTACCATTGGTCTTCATGTCTATTTTGATACCAATACCATGCTGGTTTTGTTGCTATAGCTCTGTAGTACAGCTCTGGTATTGTGATGCCTCCTGCTTCACTCTTCTTGCTGAAGATTGCTTTGGCTATTCTAGGTCACTTATTTTTTCAAATGAATTTCATGATTGCCTTTTCTATTTCTATGAAAAATGTCATTGGGATTTTAATAGGAATTCCATTAAATCTGTATAATGCTTTTGATAGTATGGCCACTTTGACAATAGAATATCATGCTAAGCAAAATAAGCCAATCCCCAAATGTTTTCTCTGATATATGGATACTGATCCATAATTGGGGAGATCCAGGGAAGAATGCAGGAACTTTGGAGTGGGCAGAGGGGAGTGAGGGGAGGGGAGGAGGTGTGAAGGTGGGAAAGATGGTGGAATGTGCATGTATATACCCTATGTACATGTATGATTGCACAAATGGTGTGACTCTGCATCATATACAGCCAGAGAAATGAGAAGTTGTGTTCCATTTGTGTACAATGAGTTGAAATGCATTCTGCTTTATGTATAACTAATTAGAACAAATCGAAAAACAAAATTAGATGGTCAAAGTAAGTTTAATAGTATCAATAAATAACAATAATTGCAAGAGGTTTAAATTTGCTTTTAAAATACAGAGCTTAACTGACTAAAAAAATCCATTCTGCTTTTAAGAGAGACACCTATTTTTAAAACTCACAGAGGTTTGCTAATGTATTACAAAAGAAACTCTATGCAAAATGTAAAGCTAGCTCTTTGGAATATGTCTGTTTGGCATTCTAGTATGGAAATGTGCCACAAGACATTTAAGTCATCCCTCTATTTATGGTTGTTTTTCATTTTTTATTCTTACAAAGAATACTTATAATGATAAATAAATTAAAGCAAGTTGCAACAAGATATATAATGTCTAACATAATTTATATTATTTAAAATATGAAGAAATTGTATATATTTTATGGATGCAAATGTAATAATCCCATGCATATATGCACAGGAATAATAAATACCAAATTCTGAATGATGGGGGGTTTTTGGAGGGGGGCTTGCAGAGAGTAAAGTATCATAGAGGAGGTATACTTTGGTAACTCAATTCTACCTGCATTATCTAATCTTTTTGAAAACATTTTTTAGCAAATATAGAAAGCATTAGTATCTGATTAAACTGTATTGAGAATACAGGTATTTCTTTTGTGAACATTTCTACATTTTCTGTACGCTTAAAATATTTTATAGTAAAGAATTTTATGTGAAAAAAGAAAAGAATACTGATTTATAAAACTTTACACTTGTATTACATTTCTCCCCACATTTTGATATTTTTTTCTTTTGCAGTACTGGGAATTGAACCCAGGGGTGCTCTGCCACTGACCTACATCATCAGCCCTTTTTATTTCTATTTTGAGACAAAGCCTCACTAATTTTCCTAGTCTGGCATCAAACTTGTGATTTCTCTGCCTCTACCTTCCAAGTAGCTGGGAATACTGGTTGTGTACCACCACGCCCAGCAATATCTTAAATTTTTGATATCCCAAACATTTCCATTTTTCTACACTGCCTCTTTTTAAATATTTTTTAGTTGTTGTTGGACTTTTATTTTATTCACTTATTTATATGTGGTGCTGAGAATAAAACCCAGTGCCTCACAAATGTGAGGCAAGCACTGTACCACTGAGCCACAACCCCAGCCCTATGGAAATTGCTTGACTCATTTATTTTTCACAGTTGTTGAACCAAAGGACTGTGCAAACAAAGACCAACCAAATGGCAATTCTGACACCATCACTGCAGAGACTTAAAAAGAAGGAAGAGGAGTAGGAAAGATTAATAGTAGAAAAAAAGAAAGGTTTATATGTGCTCTGATCAGAAGCTGTAAGCAGGCAGCTAAAAGCAGCCATCCTATGAGATTGGATAAGTGTACATATTTGATTTTCTCTGATTGGTCATGAATTGGAAGCAAGGACAAAAATTAAGTAAGTTTTCAATTATTAATCAAGACTTAGACATGAGGCCAATTGTTAAAACCATTAGATTTCATGGTCTGGTTGTTAGAGATAGTGATCGGACTTCCTGTGAGGCTGACTTCCTGGGCTGGTTTTTGTAGCTAATGCGTTGATTGCTGCAGATGGGGGTCAGAGGCCTAATTTTATATATAGTCTGGCCATTCATTTTCCTTAGTATATTCAGTCTCTTAGGATATAGAGAACATGAAGCAGCTCAGTTGGATACTATATCATTGTGAAGAAATTTGTTGGGATGAGGGAAATAGATTTTTGAGAGCATTTTCTGTTAGTAGAAAGCACAAAAGAACAGGGATCTGGGGAAACACAAGTTTTTTCATTCACAGATTCATTTACTCAACACATATACTCAGGAATTATTTATTACATGTTCCAGATATTGTTCTAGAGTCTGGGGATACAATAGGGGTCCTGTCCTTGAGGAATGTATACTTTTCAGAGGAATAAACTCAGGTTATTATGGCAGCATGTGAGAAGTAGGGCTTCTCTCAACTAGAAAGTCAAGAAGATCTGGAGGAAGTAACATAGTAACATTTAAACTAAGACAAGTGTCAGGAGATAGAGAAAGGAACTGAGTTCTGGGAAAAAAAAAGTAGAACATAGGCAATAGTTGAAAAGGGGTATGGGTAGGGGAACAAAACACATTCTGATCTGTCCCAGACAGGCCTAGCATCTGAGTGCAATGACTAATCACAGTACCTTTCACTTTCAGAAGGATTCTGGTTGGTCACCTAAGTATGGTACATTTGAGAACTGGGAGCTTGAGAGGGAGGAGCAGGATCAGAAGGGGACTGCAGAGGTACTCAGGGCCTCAAATAACTGATCCTGGCCTCAGAGACCAGAGTTCGATGCAGAGAGGGAGGACTGGATATCCACACCACGACTAACATCACATTTCTAGTACCTTCTCCCACTTCTACAGTGCACACAAGTCAGTTAATTTCTCTATCAGGTCATTCTGTCACCAGGTAGGAAAGGATAAAGGGGTAGGACCTTTCCCACCGTGCTCTCAGAGATTGAGGATAAACCTTTGGAGACAAAACCAAGAAGTCCTACCTAGCAGAGCATGGTGGGAGGCTAAGGCAGGAGAATCACAAATTCAAAGCCAGTACCAGCAACTTAGTAAGCCCTAAACAACTTAGCAAAACCCTGTCTCTAAATAAAATATTTTTTAAAAGTCTGGGGACATGGCTTAGTGGTTAAGCACTCCTGGGTTCAATCCCCAGTACAAAAAGAAATTCTACCCAAGAAGAAAATGAGACTATAGCCCATGACCATCCCAGAATGAACATGGGTATTGTCCATATCATGATAAGTGATAGAGGAAGGGGACTGAAATGCTAGGAGATAGGGCATCAGTAAAGAGCCTTCAAATTTTGTCACAAGTTCAGTTTCTTGGAACAAAGAGGAAAATGATCTTTGGGAAAGTAGTGATATTAGTTACAATAAAGGAGCAGCTGCTATATCAGAGGCTCAAAATAACAATGTCTTCAAAAGACAAATTAAAACAAATTTAAAGATCTTAACTGGTTTTCATTTACAATTTTAGAACCAGGCAACCCTCAGAACCAGAACTGTTTCAAGAATTCTGGCCTGCAACATGGCCAGGCAATGTGCATGGATAGCAAACTGAAGTGCGCTTAAATAGCCTTGAAGAAATCATCTGGATGCCTGTCATTGACTGCAGCTCAGCCTGTATTCAGCCAGATTCAGCTGTGTGTTACAAAAGTGGACTCCTGAGTTAGACTTTTCATTCAGTCATGTACTAAGTCAGGCTACGATTCATTATATAAGGAGCCAAATGTGGAAACATCTTCAGACAAAATTTGGTGTGTCTACCTTCAACAGTGTCAATGTTCCTTCTCTCTTATATATATCAGTATAAAGATATGGAGTACAAGGCTAACATGGTAGTTCTTCAGAGTGAATATTCAGGTTCCTTCTGTCTCTGGCATTCTCTGGTGTTGCCCTCATCTGCAAGGTCCAAAAGTGGCACACCATGATGTTTATTCTTCATCCCTTGGAAAGATGGTAATGCCACAGAGAGTTTGGATTAAATGCCAGCTTCATTCCATTCTTATCAGTGTGACCTCAGGCCACTGGTATGCTCTAAGCCAGGAGAATGGTTACTGCAGTCACAGAAGTGTAGGAGATGGCAGGTGGGCTTCTGACAGAGAAGGGAGGCCCCCTGAAAATAGCTATCAAAACTTTACCTGCACTTGATAGCCAGTGCTGCTGGTACCCCCACTCATATCCCCATGGGATTGCAAGGAGATGTATTCTTCTCTCACATTCAACTGGAAGCACTTACATCTCTTTCTCTGGCCATCAGAGTCTACTCTTCCCACATTCAGGGCAAACCAGAAGTGCTACAGGATTGACACCCTGTCCCCACCAAGAGTGACCCTCAGCCAATAACTACTGGTGTTCTCTACCCACTGCTCCCCTTGGCTGGGATAATGCTAATGCACAAGTTCTTCATTGTCTCACAGTGGAATTGTCTTTCCAGTGGAATTAAGCTCCAGGGGTTCATATCTTTGTTGGCAATAACACCAGCTAATGCCTTCCCTTTCCCAGCTTACTTCCCCACCTAAGGCTATTTCACGGAAACACTTCTTAAATAAACTTCTGTCACTCAAATTCTTGTCTTGGATTTGTTTGGGGGGGAACTCAAACTTCTAGGAATATATTCTATAAATTATCCTTACACATATGTGAAAATGGCACATCCAATTTATTAATTCAGCATTGCTTATAATAGTGAGAAGTTAGAAATAAAATATCCAAAGGATATTTTAATAATGTTCACTACATTATTACACAATCACACAATAGAACATTCTGCAGCTGTATAAAAGAATGAAAAAGTAATTTATCTTGGCATAAAACAATCTGAGCTATTAATGGAAAAGTAAGATACAGAACAGTACAAAGTATGCTACCATTTGTGTAAAAGAAAAAAAAGGCTTGTATGTATGTGTATTTGTGTGTGCGTTTGCACATGCCTAGAATTTTGAAGAAATATAACCCTGACTGCCCCCCAAGGAGGGAAGAGAGACTTTTCACCATTCACTCTTGAATGTCTTTCAATTTTTGTATGATGGACAGGCTTATCAATTCAAAAAGAAAAGTAACTTTGAAATAATAAACGAATAAATAAAGGGAGGGTTATCATTCCTCGTTGGACATCTTTATTGGGCCCACTGACTCTAGTATGAAATGGATTTGGACAGAATCCTGCCAGCTCACAAGCTCCTGGTTCCTTCCACGGCTTCTCTGTGTACTTTAAGTTCTGGCTTCACAGGCTCCAGGGGTCTGCTCATTTGCCCACGCAGGAAAGTCTCACTTCCTTTGTCAAAGAGTGGAGCTCCTGCTTCATTTCCCTTTATTTTTGCCCACAAGGGCTGCTGCCATCACCTTTCTCAGAAGGTGGCGCAACAGCTTCTTTACCCACACACAAGGAAGCCCAGCCAATTACCTTATTATTTTACTATTATTATTAAATAATAATAACAAGGTTATTAGCTGGGCTTATAAATATTATTTAGTTGTAGTTGGACACATACCTTTATTTCATTTATTTTTATGTGGTGCTGAGGATTGAATCCAGGGCCTCACATGTGCTAGGAAAGTGCTCCACCGTTGAGCCATAACCCCAGGTCCCCCGGCCAATTACCTTCTGACCAAGAGGTGCTGAAAACACCTGAATCATATACACAATTTATGCATACACACAAATGGAAGCCCAAGCAGGTCTTCATGAGACATAAATATACCAGTTTCCTAAAGGTCATGTCTGTCCAGCACCCTAGGGACTTGCATGTTAGTCTGACTCAAGTCCTGCTTGCTGTCAAAGAGGCCATGCATTGGAGAAGGAGCTGTTATTGGGGCGGTGCCTCTTGGGGACCAGTTTCATTCATCATGTCCTTGTACTGTCGCTTGAAGAAGCCAAGCTGTTGGGGCAGAAACAGAGGAGTAAGAACCACAGAAGCCAGTGGGAAGGCAAGGGTCATGCAAAACAAGAGTGGGGACAAAAGAATACAGAGCAGTACAAAATAATGGGGCAGAGAGTAGAAGGGAACTGGGGAAAATGAGGCAGGAAAGGAAATCCCATCAATGTTGGAACCAGGAAAGAAATATAAAATAAAACAAGGAGAATTACTCCCTCTATGACAGTCCTTCAGTACCAGGGGTCATTCTAGTTGCTCTACATATAGTAACCCAATTTCCTTCACAAAAAGGGTATTGATAACTGTTTTACAGCTGAAGAAACTAAGGCACAGAGAGGCCCTAATCTGCCCAAGATCGCCCAGCTAGCAGCAATGCTAGGAGTCAAACCTCTGCATACAAAGGGATGGGAGGAGGGTTAGGAGAGGGCCAACCAGGGGATACCTTGTACAGTCCAGCAGTGATGAGGGCCAGGAGCACCAGGCCCCCAATGGAGCTACCCACAATGAGTGGCAGAGGGTTGTGAATTTCATATGGTTCCACTTTGGTCTCTGTCTGGGAAAGGAAGAGGAGAAAAGAGGTGCATCAGAGTAGACAGATGCCAAATTTCTGGACGTTTCCCCAATCAGGCCTGTACTCCCCCTAAACCCAATGGCTATTCCCTCCCCATCTCTCCCAGTATCCCAGCCCTCACTCCTGAGTCCCCACCTGTTTCTTTTTCTCCCTCCCTGACCAGAAATGATCTTGATAAGCCCAGTTTCCCCTCCTCCCTCCAACAGTCCTCTGTGTCTGAGCCAGTTACCTGGGACCTCACAAACATCCCCTGTCCAGGGAGTAGAGCAAACATGGAATCGTTAAACAATATCTCTGCTGTGCTCACAAGCAGGAGGTGGTTATGTGAAGTCTGTGGAAAAGAGCAGAGCAATAGCCAGGTCTGGGGTCCTGAAGTATCACATTTGTGCCCCACAAAGTCTCAGGATCCCACATACCTTGATATACCAGTCAAATGAGAGGTTGCCTTTGAGGACAACGTTGAAGTCTTCCTGGATGCCAAAGAATGGGATTTCACACTGGATTATCTGACAGACAGCAATGGAGCAGTTCTAGGGGGGAAAAGGAGAAGAGAGAAATGGATAAGGATGCTGATGCAGGATCATCACTTGGTGCTCAGCCCTCTCAGTCAAGAGACCATATTGAGCTCCAATGAGGGGACCACCAAGGGTCTACATGTATTCCTGAGGCTACTCACCACCACTGGGGTCTTCTTAAGTACAGCCTGGAAGTCAGAGTGGGTAGGGGGTCTCTTATCAGTATGGCAAGCACTTGAGACATTCTGAGGGAAAAAAGACACCATGAGAAGAGAAAGGAATGGGAGGATGAGACAGCCTGGATCCAGGAGAGGGTCAGAAAGCCTCCAAAGTCCAGTGAAGGAAACAAATTTTAGGAAAGTTTAAGACTATGGAGGGAGGAACCAGACCCACTTCTCAGGCCCAGCCAGACTCACCTGGGAGAAGATGACCTCAAGGTGGTCCCAGACTGTCACATGGTTCAGCTGGACAGGGACCCAGAAGGTCACATTGATGGGGAGGCTCCTCTGACCCAGGTTGTTGAACTACACCAGGGGAAGAATGAGAGATCAGGCATCTGGACTTGTACTCCACCAACTCTTGGACTCAGCCTCCCTGTTTCCTAGAGCCCAGTACACCTAAATAAGGCCCAAGTGTCCTTTCCCTTTCTGGGAGGGAGAGAGTAGCCATTAAATACACACTTGAGATCCAGACAGGCATTTCCTAAATCCTGGCTAGTCTACTTATTAGTTGAGAAGCATTGGACAGGGTATTTTTTTGTTTGTTTGTTTTGTTTTGTTTTGTTTTGTATTGTTATTTTGCTATCAGGGATTGAACTCAGGGGCACTCAATCACTGAGGCACATCCCTAGCCCTATTTTGTATTTTTCATTTAGAGACAGGGTCTCACTAAGATGCTTAGTGCCTTGCTTTTGCTGAGGCTGGCTTTGAACTCATGATCCTCCTGCCTCAGCCTCCTGAGCCGCTGGGATTACAGGCATGTACCACTGCGCCTGGCACTTGGACAGGTTTTGTTAACCTCTCTGAGCCCCAGTTTCTTCATCTGTAAACTGAGAGTAGCAACAGTGCCTCAGAGAGTCTTTATGAAAATAAAAGGAGTTCATCATGTAGGTATGTGTGCACATACCTATATGCATGCTTGTGTGTGTGTGCAGAGTGAGATCTTCCTTGGACCTGTGTCTGGCACACACATTTCCCATCTCCATCATTGTTTATATATTTTCTTCACATAAATTTCCCTCCCCAACATCCTCTTAGGACCCAGACACTCCCTGTGCTCACCTGATATTGATGCTGTATAACATGACTAGTCTTCTCTGAGGCCGTGAAGTTGAGATATTTGGTAGAAACCTCAGTACTAAAGGAAGAAAGAAAGAACAGGAAGTGACAGAAATGAGGGGTGTCCTGGAAGGGGCTCACAGGCTAAGTGTGTAAGGAGTAAGCAGGCACATAGATCATGCAGCTCTGAGAAGGCAAGAGCAGGGTGATGCATGTCAGAGACACAGTGGGTGCCAGTTAGGCCACTCACACAGAAGCAACACGTGCACACATACACACCATACATGCACACACACACACACACACACACACACACACATACAAGCACAGATTCATGAACACAATTGGCTGTGTCCAGCCAATGGAGAAGGCTCAGCTAGGTCGCTGGGGGCCTGCACCTGGTGACTACCGTGACGACAGCATATTTCACCGGCAGCTGCAGTTGGAACTCAGTTTTATTGGTCCTGGGCATATTGTTCTCACTGAAGGGAAAGAGAGCGCTTAGTCAGCACTTAAGAACTGAGAATCAACCTTTTCTTCTCCTTCTCCTTCATCTCCTAACTCCAGCCAGTCACCAAGTCCTATTATCTCTGCATCCTAAACCTGACTATTTTCTAACTCCCTTCTGCCCCTACATAGCCCAGGCCCGTGGCTAAAACAGACTTCTAACTAGACCTCTGAATTTAAAACTGTTTCCAATCCAATTCCCAGCCCTGTTGAAAAGTGACCTTTCTAACATGCAAATATAATCATGTCACTCTGATAAGTTAAACTGCAAATTCCCTTAAACCACTTATGGAACATTTTGTGGCATGGCCATAACCAGTGCCTTAAGTCCTATATCATGTGCTCAGGCCATTCTTAAACACATCTTGATCTTTCCAGGCTTTAGGCTTTGCCTGGTAGGTGCTTCTTTCTGTCTGTCTTTCTGCCCATCTTCAGTTCCTGCCTTTTAAGTGACTGACTCACAGACTAAATACATTTTCTTCAGGAATCTTCTCTGAACACCAAGCTCCCAAGAACACTGGACATACCCCATCTAGTCATTCATTTCATACTGTATTATGATTGCCAGTTTTCTTGTCTATCTGTGCCACATAACCTCTGTGTCTATAACCTCTGTGAGGACAGGAACCACAGTTGTTCTATCTGCCACTGTCCCACAAGCCTTTAAAACAACTGTGAGTGCTCAGTAAGTATTTGTTGAATGAACAAATTATCTGAATGGAGAATCAGGAAAGGGGAAAGGTTCACTATGGACAAGGGGCTGGGGCCTCAAAGGAGAGGGTGCGTATGCAGAGGCAGGGACAGTGCACCTGGTCACATTAGCCTTGAGGAGTAGCTGGTTTCCAAGAAAAGCATCAGGCTCCACATTAAATGTGACATTAAAGGTGACCTGGAGGTAGAGAAAGGAGACACAGTGATAAAAATGGGAGAGAAGAAACAACACAAATGTCTATCAACTGTTGAATGAAAAAATAAAATGTGATCCACCCATACAATGGAAATACTATTCAGCAATAAAAGGAAATGAAGTACTGATAGGTGAATGATTCTTGAACATATAATGTTAACTCAAATAAATTGATACCAAAGAACCACATGCTGTATGTTTCCATTTCAATGAAATATCCAGGATAAGCAAATCTATAGAGATAAGTAAATCAATGGTTATCAATGCCTGGGAGAGGCGGGTGGAAAGCTGATAACAAGGTCTCTAAATCTGATCATGACATTGGATGCACAACTCTGAGTATACTGAAAGCCACTGAACTGTCTACTTTAAATGGATGAGTTTATAGTATGTGAATTATATCTCAGCAAAGCCGTTTGACGCCAGGCGCAATGGCACATGCCTGCAATTCCCAACAGTTCAGGAGGATGAGGTAGGGGGATGGCGAGTTCAAAGCCAGCCTCAGCAACAACACAGCACTAAGCAATTCAGTGAGACCCTGTCCCTAAATAAAATTCCAAAAAAGGGCTGGGGATGTGGCTCAGTCATTGAGTGCCCCTGAGTTCAATCACCAATAGCAAAACAAAAGCTGTTTTGTAAAAAAAGAATCTTCAATTTTTAAGATGAGAAGAAGGAGGAGGAAAAAGGAGAGGGGATAAGGAAGAGAAGGAGGAAGAAGAGGAGGAGGAGGAGAATTCCAGATGAAGACAATGGATAGAAGGAGAGGAAGAGCTAGTAGCTCAGACCTCTGAGTTGCCTGGGAAAATGGGGTGGTTTATGATGCAGCTGGTGCTCTTCAAAGCCACAGGCCCTTCAGTGGAAGAACCAGAGTCACAGGACAGACGCCAGGATCGCTGTGTGCGCTGGTTCTGGAAGGCAAAGGAGGCAGAAAGGGGTATTAATAACCAGCAGCCATGAAGATGGGGAAATCAAAGATCAGATTGGGCCTAAGAAGGACCTGGCTACCTGGGCCGCTGACACCTTCCGAAAGAACAAGCCAGATGGGTGGTAGAAGGTGACATGAGTCCCATAGGAATCCTCACCCTCATTTCTCACAGTCAAAGTCACAATGAAGTCCTGGGGATCACCCACCACCAAGGTGTCCAAGCTGTAGGGACAACAAAACATACCAGGAGGTTCTTGAGGGCTTCCCTGTGGGAAGGCTGTTTGAGTGGAAAGGGAGTGCAGCACTTAGAGACGTTTCAGACAGAGTAGCCACTAGGGACCTTGCAGCACACAGACACCTCCAATAGACCTAGCTGTTCTCCCAAGGCTCACTTAGGAGCCAGGAGAAGAACAGGGTTCTACATCATGCACAGGTTCAAAGGAGGCAATGAGGAAAAGAAACTCACTTCATGAAATCGAATGTGAGGCTTAGGTCATCCTGGCAAATGTTGTCATCACCACAATTCTTCTCAAAGGGAAACTGTAAAAAAAAAAAAATAGAAGAGAATAAAATGAAAGGAAAGAAAATAATGAAGTGAAACAATTAAACAAAATGTTGAAATAAAATTATGTAAAATAAGTTTCAACATAAGACCCCACAATAAATGTGACAATAAAGGTGACCTGGAGGTAGAGGAAGGAGACACTGTGATAAAAATAGGAGAGAAGAAACCCACCAATGTCCATCAAGTGATGAATGAATAAATAAAATGTGATCCACCCATATAACAGAAATATTAGTCAGAAATAAAATGAAATGAAATCTTGATGTTTTCCATGACCCTGTAGAGCCCCAACTCAAGGACTCACCAAGGCTGTGAACAGTCTCTGAGCATCCACAGCCAGAACTGGCCGAAGGTTTCCAAAAGAGGATGAGGGCATCCCCACCAGAGTGTAGTTGAGGCGCAGGGCAATGGGGCTCACTGAGTCCTCCACACAAACCTGAGAGATAGTGGGGATTTGGGAATCTGCTCTCCTCAGCTTCCCAAGACCACCCATTCTCAGCCCAGGGATCTGGCCACTCTCCTGCTCACCGGTAATGATAGCTTCAGGGTCTCACATTTCTGGCTCAGGCCAAAGGTCTGTGTCTGTCTGAGTGTGCTGTTCTTTGTCTCAACAAAAATGGCACGGGAGCGTGGACGGCCAGGGTCCAGAGCCAGGTCATAAGTGATAGTGCTCTGGATTTCTCCTGAAGGAACAGGACAGCATGGTGGTGAGGAGCCTGGGCTGTAGATCAGGCAGAGAGGAGTCTGAGGCCCAGCTCCTCTGCTCCCCAGTTGTGTGACTTGGGCCATGTTATCTGACCTCTTTTGAGTCTCAGTTCCTTATTTTCAAAGTCAGGATAATAATCATACCTTTCCAATGGTAAAAAAATGAAATAAAATTGTGACCATAAAGTAATTGCTCAAAAAAAGGTAGCTATTCTATTATATATTAGAAAATTGATTGTATTTTTCTGACTTCATTCAAGTTTTTTTGTTCTCTTTGTCTTTTGTAATCAGCAATATGCCTATAATGTACTTTGGTATGGCTTCCTTTATATTTATCCCGCTTTGATTTTTTTTAAAGAATCTTGATCTTTCAAGATTCTTAACACTGTTTGTTTATTACTTCTTCTGATTATCCCCCACACTCTTTTTCTCTCTCTCTCCATTCCTTCCTCTCTCCCTCTCTCCTTCCCTCTGTCTCTAATTACATTGTTAGATTTTTCACCATATCCAATATATCTCTTACAATTTTGTCTGTATTTATCATCCTTTTCTCTTTGTGTGTTAATCTGAATACTTTCAATTAACTTATCTCTAGTTCAATAATTCTGTGTTCTGCTTCTAATCTGTTATTAAATCTATTGAATTCTTAATTCCAGTCATTGAATAGTTCAGTGTCAAATTTTCAGTTTGACTCTATCCTATGAATTCCAGGTCTTTCCTGAAGTTTCCCATCCTTTCCTTTTCCTCTTAAATATATTACTTGTAGGGGGATTTTATTTTTTGTTTCTGTCTGATCACTCTGACTTCGAAATCACCATTGGGTCTCTTTCTATTACTTATTATTTCCCTTAGTTACTGTTTATCGTCTTAATGGAAAAACCAAGGCATTTACCAGGGTCCCTCTTAAATCTGCCTCCTCAGCACTGGGAAGGTATTTAATTCTCTGCTCAGCTCTTTAGGTTTTCAGCTGCTATTTTCTACTAGATTGCCTGCAGTATTGACCTGGGCATTTGTGGCTTATGAGTCAGCCAATGACTTAAGAGAAATTTCTGTGTAGATTTTGGGATGCCTTTTACATAACTCCTTACTCTCCAAAACTTTTCTTTCAATTTCAATCCATGTTGGCTGCCCCAATCTCTGTTTATTATCTCCTCAGGCCACTAAGACTGCTGCTAGAAGGATGATTTTTTTTTCTCCTCCTCTCACTTCTTTCAAGGACTGTCATTACTCTTCCCGACCAGAGGCACAATTCTATTCTTTAAGAATAGGGACAAGGGAGATTTCAGGTCACTAATGAGTTGCTACATCAATTCTACCTCACCAAATGAGTTCTCTCACAGTTTAAGAAAAATGAACCTAATCTGTTCACAGGAATGGGGCCCTTAGTTCTCTGGAGAATGAAGAGTATAAGGGGGTGATACATGTTCGCTTCTCTGGTGAGTTTTGCTGGGCTTCTCACCAGGCTTGGAAAAGTCTATCAGAGCCCATCATAACTTTCCTCTGGATTACCAGAGGCTGGGCAGACTGAAATGAGCCACCTATCTATGCCCCTAGTCACTTAATCTTTTGAGACCTAACCACCAAGCCTCACCGTCATTTAGCCGATCCCGTGTGCTCTTTCGGACAAGGAGGCAGACTCTGACCTCCCCAGCAGCCTTGCTTGTCACCACCTGTTCATGACACTCAAATACATCCCTTGCCACTTCCTTGGGTGTGAACTCCATGGTCACCACAACTCTTAGCACTGGCTGGGATCTACAGGGACACCAAAGGACCATCAGAAAACTTCATACAGCAAGGAAACTTCTTCAAGGGTAGAGTGAACCAAATTCTCACCTGAGCAACAGTATATGTCCCTGGGCCCCTACAGCCAGGTCTGCCAATCCATCCCTTGTGAGGTCCTGACCGCCACTCAGTGACTGACCAAAATACTGGAGCTGGGGGGAAAGCTGGGAGCCTGTAATCCGCTGTGGGTAAAAAATAGATAAGAAAGGGAGGAGGAAGGTTCAAGTAGAGATTCTCCAGGCTGTACTTAACTCTTATCCCCCACAAATTTTCAGGGAATTAGGGCAATTCAAACTTATCAAGGAATTATTTACCTTTAAACCACAACCTCAAGATGATACCCAAAATTCCCATTAATTACCTGGGCTTTCTAGAGAAAACAAGAAGTTTTATAGGAAAGAAGCAAAAGTATATTTTGGGCCCCTTTGAATCTCACTTACATGGTCAGAATAATGCAAACACTGAATATTAATCTAATCAAAATTATCATATAATTTCGAGGAAGGAAGAGGGTAGAGAATGTGTTCAGGTGTGGCAAGAGGGAAACCAAAAGAGAACACAATCTTCACTTTTCATACTAGGAAATCTATGTTAAAACAAAAATCAAGAAATAGGAAACATTTTTGGAGTGGAGGGTATGGGAATTGAACTCAGGGGCACTCGACCACTGAGCAACATCTATCCCCAGCCCTATTTTGTATTTTATTCAGAGACAGGGTCTCACTAAGTTGCTTAGCACCTCACTAAATCACTGAGGCTGGCTTTGAACTCCCAATACTCCTGCCTTGGCCTCCTGAGCTACTGGGATACAGGAGTGTGCCACCACACCCAGCTAGGAAATTTTTCTTTATGCATTCATGCATAGATGACTCCATATCTTAGCTATTGTAAATAGTATTGCAATTAACGTGAGAATGCAGGTATCTTGTCAATAAAATGATTTCATTTCCTTTGGATATATATACAGTAGTGAGATCACTGTATTATATGGTAATTCTATATCAAACTTTTTAAGGAAACTCTATACCATTTTCCAGAGTGAATATACTAATTTACATTCCCATAAACAGTAGATGAGAGTTGCCTTTTCTTGACATCCTCACCAGTATTTGTTTGGGTTTTTTTATAGTAGCCATTCTAACTGAGGGTGAATGCTATCTCATTATGGTTTTAATTTGCATTTCCCTTATGATTAGTGATATTTAATACTTTTCATATATCTATCAATCATTTGTAGGTCTTCTTTTGAAAAATATCTCTTTAAGCTCATTTGTTCATTTTTAATGTGCAATGGAATATTAGTCATCCATAAAAAGAATGAAATCCTATTGTTTGTGGCAATGTGGATCAAACAAGGAGGATCCTGTGTTAAGTAAAACAATCTAGGCCCAGAAAGACAAATACTTCATGCTCTCACTCATTTGAGGAAGCTAAAAAAAAATGATTGCATAGAAAAGAGTGGAATAATGGTCACTAGAAACTGAGAAAGAATGGGGAAAGGGAAAGAGACAGAGGTTAGGTAGTGGCTACCAAAATACAGTTAGATAGAAGGAATTAGTTTTGGTATTCTATAGCATAGTGGGGTAATTATAGTCTACAATAATTTATGATAAACTTCAAAATAAGAGCCTGAAGGTTCCCCACACATAGAATTGATCAAGTTGGAGGAGACAGAAATGCTAATTGCTCTGATTTGATTATTACACATTGTATATAGAAATGCTAATTGCTCTGATTTGATTATTACACATTGTATACATGTATCAAATTATTGTACCATAACTCATAAATATGTGCAAATATTTTGAGTCTATTAATTTAAACGTGTTTAAAAAGAAGTAGAAAAATTATGTTATTTGGACATATAGAAAATAATTGGAAAGGGGCTGGGGTTGTAGCTCAGTGTAGAGTGCACACCTGGCAAGTGTGAGGCACTGGGTTTGATCCTCAGCACCACATAAATAAAT